GGGTAAAATTTCTTTATTCTAAACGTAATTCATAAAATGTCTAGGGAAATAATTTATATAAATTTCTTGTTTTTCCGAAACTACTACGTGGGCTCAGTGAAGAGAGCTTGCGGTTCTATGTATGCTTATAGGTTTTCCAGTCGGAGATCACTGATGAATTTCGACAGATTATTGAGAGGCATATCAGGACTACGTTTTCACCGGCACTGGAAAATCTGCGAAGGAATGGACTGGTGTGGTTTATTTCTCATATCTATTTTTCACATATTTCACATATCTTTACTCCGTCTTTGTATTACCATCTATTTATAAGTGAAATAATATTTATGGAACCCAGTAATTATTAGTTTAAATCAGTTAGATGAAATTAAAAGTAAGCCGAGTCAGGACACTTAAGTTTGATCTTTGGTGCTTTCAACGTGGTCTGGGTTTTAATAATTATTTTTTGATAAATTAAACTCCTAAAAATTCTGGCATGTAGCTTGCTGTGTTTGATCCAAAACATCAATTTGAATTTGAATCCAAGGGAATAAATCAGTGGGCACTAAACTACGCACCCTTTTGGTTGCACATTTTCATTCGCTGCTGCAGTTTGATGGGCAGGATAGCCTTGATTCGTTGATTCATAGTACAGGAACTTCAAAAGCAAAAAAAACATCCACTTATGCATCCCTGACATACAGATTGTCCTGTTGATTTCTGCATTATTCCCAGCACGACAAAAGCTGACGATGGTGGTCAGACAGTCGAGATGTTCGTGTGATACAACTGTTATAAATTTTCAGGAAGTAACAGACGACGATATCAAATGTTTGTGTCGAAGTATCCTTGAAGCAGCAAAGAAACCATTTGAAGATGGAAAGCATCCTCAGTTATATCCAGAAAAGACGGTCGATTCACCCGGGTTTGTGAATGCTTTCTTAGTTTGGCAAAAAGTCAGTGTCACTGGAAAATGAGCTACATTTCGATCTAAAGTTCTCGATATCATTAAAGAAAGTACTCACGGAATTGCAACTGCCATTGTGTATGCTCCCGAATCTTTGCCTTTCTACAACATTTCAATAAATATTCGTTTTTAAACTACGGTTGTCTAATTTTAGGCACCTAGCCGAAGTTGTTAATCACTTCTTTATAAAATACACATCACATAGTGAGAGTCACTGATTTTTCTTACACTGTAACACTACGCAAAAAAGCAAATGCTTTTTACG